TAGCAAAACAAGCAATGTAATAAAAACGTGTGTTAGTTATTCACTTTAAGTAGTTTGATAATTGTCGTTCTGTAATGCTTACTGCCTGTTGCACAAACGTCCATTAAAATTGTCATTACCCATACAAATTTGGCGTCATTAAACCCTAATGGACAATTATGTACCTGACATTAATTAGTAAAATCACATCAATGTAATCGCATTCATTAATTGATTGTTATGTTTTATTTGATTAATTGTAAGTTGATTGCTGCTGTTACGGTATGTACCTGTATTGATTTTCATGGTTAAATTAATGGAAGTTAATGATAGTCTGTCGTTTATAAAAGCAAAACTTAAAAAGCAATCTCTAACAATTAGTGATTAGATTGTGTGTGGAATCAAAGGCGTGAAGGTTATTTTGGTTTGTTACAAAAAATTTCATGCTAAAACGTGGTGTTTTCTTGTATTATTTCATAGGTAAGAAATTTTTTACACGCCAATAAAAAGAAGTTATTATATAGCTATTACACTAACTCATTATGAGATTGGCCACCGTGATATACCTTGTACAGGAAAACATGCCGTATCTCTGATAGAGTTAATTAGGGTACACATATAAACCTTTGTTTTCCGCAAACGTATTCTTTTCCTGCATCATGAAACAGTATTTTACAGAATAATATCTCAACAATAACAAAAAACCCTAATCCATATTCTGTTGTTTCTCAAGCATGCCGTAGTGGTTTATACTGCACGAAGCGTTGATTACGAGATATTACTGCTTGTGCGTAGCCCCAAGCTATCGTGTGTACCCATCCTTATAATTTATACTGGAATATTGTGAGGGACTATGAAACGGACAAGTGAGAGACGTAGATATACGTCTATTTTATTTAATATCATAATACGATTTGGTTCAAGTACTATAGTTTTGTAATTAAATAATGTGATAGAAGTAAGAAGCCATTCTAGGTACAAGTAACTTTAGTGGACTAGGTTGTGGGAGGAAATGGGCTAAAACTAATTCAAATTAACGATTAGATTATAAAGGTTGTAGGCAGACTAAAACGCTATTCAGATTGACTATTAAGATAAGTACCTTTAATTCTGTATATTGTTGTCTTAATATAATTTAATCATTTACATATATACTTATAAATAATGATCTCATAACCACCAGAGATTCTATAGGAATTTTGAATAATATTTAATGGGGAAATACGTAAGTCAGAGCTGGAAATACGATGAAAGAGTACCATACATATAAATGTCAATTTCAACAGCAGTAACCTACTTCATATAATTGTTAATAGATTACATTTTTTCCATTTCTGGTGGTTAGGGTATTTGACTTAAAAATAGGTACATAATAAAAGTGGGATGAGAAAATAAAACATTAGTTTTCATAATAAATCATCATTCACCTCACGGGACAGTTATAAACCCAAAAAAAACCTAAATCTTCGAAAAACTAAAAACAACAAAGCAATTAAACAGTTCCAATTATTATCCAGACAATTGTGAAGTTCTACTAATGACATAATTATATTTGAAGATGCATTAACGATGCCGTGTGTGTCATTAAACGTGACTGAACCATAAAACGTCAAGTAATAATATGGTTTACCAGTTGCATCAAACTGTGTGGTCATTATTTAAAACATCTCCATAATAATTTAAAGATTTTTTGATGAGTTTAAATTAAAATTATCTAACTTTCAATTTATATCTATTGTATTTCTTTTCATTTTATAAATTACACAAAATTATTTATAATAATGTAATCTTAAACTGTTCTAAGATGCTAACTACGTAATAAAAATATACATGCGACACGCCACAATAACACCTGAATAAACTTTATACAACCTTTAATATAGTGGAATATAATCCAAAGATAAATAGTAACACATAATTAACATAGAAGAAGCTCAAACCTGATTCGTTAGGATTACCTTTTAAATAACTGCTTATAATGCATACTGGTGCCGTTCACAAACTATCACAAATCATAAATCTCACATTTCACTTATAACAGTCAATTATACATTTTAAACAACACTCGCGTAACTACTAATAACACCGCAAGAATTCCAAACAATCACCAAACCGTCGAGATGTCGCGTACAACACGTCCGGTAAGCAGGTAACTTTAAAAAATTCTAAATTCAAATAATGGGATGAACGCTCAAGCGCAAGGTTACACTTGCGTGGGAAAGAGACGGGAAAAAACGGGTCTCGATGCGCAGGCGCAGAACAGGTGGGGGGGAGTAAAACCACAGGTAACACTACCCTACGTTCTCGAATAGACGACAAAAGGGTCAGCTGTCGTGTGAGTTTCCATCGACAAGTGTCACTCAGACAAGTGACGCCAGCAGACTGCTCTAGCCACTCAATACGGCAATATTAACATGTAGCAACGGCGAGGCTGCGGTTCAGTAACGGCTGTTCGCTGGCGTGGAAAGACGATTCCATGAAAATCAAAGTTAAACACTCCATCGAACACTCAGACATGTACATATATACGTATAATGTGGTATTATTATTAAACACACCATTGTTCCACTTCAATATGACTTAAAGCAAACATTTCATTGTCATTATTATTGCAAAGTGCACTACTCACAGTACCAACCTATTCTTAAACTCATTCTTGGTCATCATTCAAAATTAACTACTTAATATACTATCAGTATCAGTAACAATCAATGTTAGAATTAATTTCAGTGACCTAAATATTGCAAAACATTTAATTGCCCTGACTTCCCATGTCAATGAAGGTCGACTAACTTTCGACATCTTTTTAGCTACAAAAACCCAGCGTCTTGTGTACCAATTGGTAACGGCTCAGATCGCAAATTTCTGCTCAACACATAATAGTAGGAGTAGCTCGGTGGCGTAGTGGATAAGCGTCGCGGCCCGCGATCGCAGTCGTTAAGCAACTTTCGCAAGGGTCGGTCACGGGATGGGTGACCAAAAAATTATTATCTCGAGCTACTCCGTGCTTCGGAAGGCACGTTAAGCCGTTGGTCCCGGCTGCATTTGCAGTCGTTAATACCCTCCAATCCGCATTGGGCCAGCGTGGAGGGTCTTGGCCCATCCTCCTTAACTATCCATAAGGAAGGCCTGAGCCCCTGCAGTGGGGACGTAAAAGGGCTGGTGAAAAAAAAAAATAATAATAATAAAAACTTTTAAACGTAGAAGTCTAACAAAATCACAAATTCCAAATAGATAAACAGACTTCCCAAATGCAGTTCAATTACTATTTATCATATTCGTAAGAGACAAGATGGAGTTTAATTACCAAACATCGAGCTACCTCTAAGATTAAACTATATTCATTTTTAAAATACAAATTGATAAATGCGTGTCTCACTAATATAGCTATGATGCGATTTAGAGAAATTTTAAATTTTCCGTGTATGCATGTAAATCGCATTTAGTTTTCTACAATCCTTTTTTAATGACGATTCTCGTTGATCCAATTTATGTCATATAACAACATAGAGTATCTAAAATCTTGTAATAATTGCTCAGATGATATGTCTTACATTGATAATTGCTGTTATCCGTAGTTCGCGGCGTTTCGCTCATCGGACAGGAAAATCAACAGGTTTCTAGATCAGCGCATAGTCTATCATCTTTATAAGTAACGTATAATCAAGGATCAAAACATCGACATCTAATTATGATAATATTATATTCAATTTTATTGTGTAAATTTTTGGTAACTTGATAATGTAAATATTACAACAATGGTCTTACCAAAAGTCACCAAGTAAGAAACGAAAAAAGATATAAGATAAAAAAGTTTACTTTATTTGTGGTATTAATAAACAAGGTTTAGCGTCAGAGTAAATTTACGCTGAAATTATGATTTTAGTATTAGTCCAAATTCATATTATACAGAGAATAAACAAACCTTCTAGGAGTAAATATTACTTCTGTAAAATTTCGTACTAGGTTAACCTTTGCTAAGACTCTGTTTAATAATATGAATTTTGACTAATTTAGTATTAGTGCAGTCTCAGCATAAATTTTATACTATATTCCAACTGTATAACTTGTTTATTAATAACACTGTATGTGTTATTCATTTTTCTAATACATTTTAAGTCATGGTCAAAAATAATATATAACTCATAATAATTTGACCAGGTATTCCCTATGACGCCATCGAAAACATCAACGTCCTAAATAAAAAAAATATATAAATAAACTACTAATTATCCCAATGCTAAAAAACCACATTACTGTTAAACCCAAAGTATATGGTAGTTACATTTCATTCATGTTCATGTTGCATTTGCGTCACTCGCAATATTTATACGTCATACGGTGAGTAATGGGTTCTGTGTTCTATGGGTGACTCTAGTACCTTTATAATCCGATAACATTGAATAAACAGCTAATATAGAAAAGATAATCAAAATATCGCAGGGACCTGACCCATGACCCTTCACGCTGACATAATGCGGATTGGAGGGTATTGATGATTGCAAATGCAGCCAGGACCAACGTCCTAACGTGCCTTCTGTAGCACGGAGTAGCTAGAGATAATAATTATTAGGTCACCCATCCCGTGACCAACCCTTGCGGATATAACTAAATAGAATTAAACAGAATAATACATTTATTCTGCTTAATTTTACATTTATTCTGTTTAATTTTCGGTTAAGCACATTTTAGTTTTAGTATGCACTTTTTTGTCTTTTAACTGATATTAAGATACTGAAACTAGTTTATCAAGCCGGGTGCGACGCCCAGGGCCGGATCAGCCCCGCTCAATTGGGAGCCTTGGTATAGTTTAGAGCCAATAAATAAATTTTTAATCACTGTTAAAAATGCAAGGAATAAAATAAGCCACGCTTCCGACTAAACTCATATTTTTAAGTATAAACATAGATTGACAAATAATTGTGTTGTGTTATTCGGAAAGCAAAGGTTTCCATGAAATAAGATCAATAATTTTTATATCGATTGTTTGCAGTTTATTTTTATTTAAAATTTATTTGTTTGAATAAGTGTTAGTCTAACTTATCATCAAAGGAATATCACGCATTAAATCATATATTCTGATACTTCGTTATTGTAAACGCCCTAGTAGTAAAAAAAGAATTAATGATTTTCGTAGCCCTAATAGATAATATCTTTCAGCAGCGATCGTTAGAAACCTTGGCCGGAGTGTGACAATACGGCTTCCTAGTTCATTCACTTGATAAGGTCACTATAACCGTAAACAAGATGTAATTTTGATTGTAACAAATCGAAATTTGATTGCACGCTGAGCTGTGGTGATATATTATAACGTTTTTCGTGCTACATTCGAAATAACCGTTTTCACGGTATAATCCGCTTTTTATTCGGTCCGTTTTTAGTTCGATCGCAGCTAAAAATATCCTATTGATTTCCATAAAGATATTCAAAGATGTTTTTAATACATATAACTCACCCTTTCTCGCCTGTTGCTAATTTATTGTTCTCAACAACAACAGTAGCACGGATCCTGTGATCAGGCTCACCCAACAGTTTTTCACTTCTTCCGTTATTCAAGTGCTCCCTAGCAACACTGTACGCGTCACTTTTACTAATATCTTTATTATCACAAGTCACTTCACTTTCGATTTTATCGATTTTCACTTCACTTTCTACTTTATTATTTAAACTCTTCTCACTTGAATCCTTCTCGTGTTTCTCGGGCTCCACTTTTTCTTCTTTCACATCGGTGACCTCTCTTTTCTTTTCTTTATCGGTTTGTATGCCGTTAGCTATTACTGGTGCTGGTTTAGATTGCAACGATTTGGGTTGTGATTTCGGTGATGATATTGTCGGTTTGCTTTCTATTGCTCCATTTTCGTTTATGGATGTAACATATACGGTAGAGTTTGCTATGTAACCATTCAGCTCCTGTCTGTTTTCAGGCTGTGTTCTTTTCCTTTTGTTAAGCTGAAACAATAAACATTGTCTAATAAATTCCTATACCACATTTTTCATATTTCTCTTTTTTAGTAAGATGAGAACTTTAATAAGGGCCAGTGTTTTTCGCTTTGCGTGTTAATGCAAAACGAAAAACTCAGGCCCTAACGCCTAAACACATAAGTACATTTATACATATATTCGTATAGGTATAATAAGGAGCAATGGTCAAAATTATTATTAAAATGCTAATGGATCACCACGATACATCATCGGATGTTTCAGACCCATCTCCAATTCAATCAACAAAAATGGCACATGAGTGTACGTTTGCGATAAAAAAATATAAGCAACAAGTGATTTGAAACCCTTGACAGTTTAATCAGTTTTACGAAGTATTATAAAGCTATACATTATTTATTATAATATTTTATTTGACACTTTTTGTATAACGGGTATATATATATATATATATATATATATATATATATATATATATAACTATTTCAGGTAACCTATTTTCAAGAGATAGAATTTTACTAATTATTATTAAAAATTTTAATGTTTTAGAATCGTAAAACATTGTATTATATCGGGTGTTAAACAAAGACCGCAACCCTAAAACCAACATTGTCACTGGATATTCATCAAAAATACTTAACGTGCAAATTACACAAGTAATATGCATTCGACAATTTTATCTGCGCATTAAGGTGTTCAAAATATTATTACAATGGAAATTGTTCTTGGAAGAAGTTTTATAAATAAGATTGGAAATTATTGCATTGTCGTCATTTCTCGTCTGATATTGATAATCCCTCCGCGTCATGTTAGGATGGCTATTCAAGATCGAAAGAGCCGGGGTTCAAGTCGGATCGAGAACGCTCAACAACTGAATGAGAGTAACGAACAGTCCCTGCAGCCGACTAGCCAACAAACAATCAATTGCGTGTCACAAGTTAATAGCGATTTACATTATATTAATATAGATATTGCGTTTGTTGTATTTATAGAATTTATTTAGTCAGACAAAGGTAATTAATTAAACGCTTATTATTATTTTAGTGGTTATACAATAAAAAAAATATTTTTTGTAATGAATAAAACTCATAACAGACGATAAGATGTTATAATATTGCATCGAAATATAAAGTATTTTAACATCTTAAGCAGTTTATATACGATAACCTTAACCAACGAAACATATATTTCCGTGTCGTTTGGCATCTTAATATTGGAATGTGTGTAGCAATATTTAATCTTAAGATATATACATTTAACATAACATCTTCACCATCTATTACGAGCCTAAGGAACTAACTGTCACTGACATTTTTAGTTACAAGTGGCTAAGGGCCAGTTTTTTGATCCGTAGTCAAATGTCATTTCACCATTTGTTAACTTGACTATAGTTAAAACAATAACAAGTTGTTACCTCGCTATTTCGTTTTTTGATGCCAAATTTAACCATAGTCAAATTTAACCACTGACCAATTTGTTGCCAGCACAATGAGTCGTTTTTTCGCTATACATTGACATGGGTAATTTTTTTCTGGGTGACAACACTAACGGTTTGAATGAACGGAGCGAACTATATACCATTTTTGACATTAGGATTTTGTTCTAAATATCAAATAGACGAAAGAAATCTATAGATTATCAAACAATGTGGATGTTTATGGTTGTTCTGTTGTGTGCACTATGTGTTATTTTTCAGGAATAATACATATTAGAAAGCAACAAAGATATGTTTTTTCCAATTATTTTAAACTTAACTTTTTATAAAAAGCATATATATGTTTTTTAATTATCCTATAGAGAAATACGTGAAAAGAATATAGTATCTAGTATCCAAGGTGGGATTGTAACGTTGGAAAATAAATCCAGGACTATGTATTTTATGTACTGTAGGCATATTTACCTTTTGTATTGTCTATTCGTGGAATTTTTAATAATTGAATAATTTGGCATCTGCCCGTGGAAACAAGAAAAATTATTTCTATATAGTACAAATATACTAAGGATGATCAAGATAAAAATATAACTTATTTTCAATAACCCTATAACCAAAAAATGACAATGAATATTTTCCTATGAAATTGCATCATAAAACGAAATCCCAAAAATAGCTAATGTCCAAATTCACTATGAAATCATGTAGGTTATAAAAACAACGTAAAAAACAATAACAAGGGACCAAGTAAATACAACGCAGTTGTACATCTGTTCTTTTAACAATTGGTCATTTTCTTAACCTAGCTTCCAGTGATGGTTAAATTTTTTGACAAATGGTTGTAATTCTGACAATTGGTTAGGCTAACTATTAATCAAAAAACATATTTTTCTGATATTTAACCATTTGTCAAAGATTTTAACAAATGGTTGAGTTAACCACGGATCAAAAAACTGGCCCTAAGCAGATCCGTGCTTATTCCCTTTAGTAATTATTTTGATTTCTCCATCCAAATTATCAACGGTTATTATCCTCCGCTTTGTTGTTTATCTATCGCACAGTCTTAATTTTGCTTCTTAAAAATAAAGTAATAATTGAAAAATCGGACAGTTACCTAATACTAATTGTTTATAATATCTTTGCCTAGACTCCATATATTTTAGGAAATCTTTACTTCCAGAAATTATAAAATGAGGTGGTTTATTTGTTTTTTTTTTTTGTTTTAGGGATGTTGATACATTCATAAAATAAATAAAAAACAGTAAATATCCTTATGATAACTTTGCTTAGATTCTATTAGGGAACTGATAATTAGGACACATAGGCTCCATTGGGCATAACAAACAACAGAAGTTTTGTTGCATATAAAAGAGCCACATGAAGAACGATAAAGCACTCTCATATTTAGAATTTTCTCCCTATTTCATCTAATTAAATATTTTATCTACGTTCCGTTTACTGAAATGTCATACAAAAAAATTATAACCGCCATATCTCGTAACTTGGAGCAACTGTAAGCCGGGGGGGGGCACTCGACACAACGAGAGCATGCCGAGTCTAGAGATCGTCGCGAAGGCGTGGCGAACTTACATCACTTGCCAACTAAATGAGACTTTATTTGCACAATACCGTTGCAAAATATTTAATATAAGTACTGTTAGAAAACGTATATTTATAACAAAATAAGACCAATATAAATTGAAGTACAAAAGGAAAGGATATAATGCCTGTTTCTAATAATTGATCAAAGAAATGTTTTACCGACTTCAAAAACTAAAAGGAGGATGTTATATGACGACGATGTATCTTTTCTTTATGTTGATCTTTGTATAAATAGCAATATGTCACTATTTTATGCGATTAGTGACTTAATGCACTATATACATATTTGTATATTGGAAGACTAGTTTGTACCTCGCCCAAAGAATTAGTCTGGCTATTCAAAGAGGAAACGCGCTCAGTCTTTTTACTATAGTTTTTAGCTTAGATACACAGAAAAAAATCTAAAATTTTGAAAATATTGTGCGATTATTGATATCAGGGAAGCGAAAAGATTTCTCGACTTACACCATAAGAGTTCTGGCATGAAGATTTTAGATACCAACGTAGATATATATCAACTTTTAATCAAAAAACTTGGAGTTTAACAACGTCGTATTAAAACAGGTCCGGGCTAGCTTTGATGGTGGTAGGCTTACTAGGCTTGAAAAGTAAGGAAAATACGGTAACTATAAAATAGAAATTAATATAAAACATTTCTTTATGGGTTTTCCAAAAAATATGATAATATTAATAAAACCACTCAATTCTGGGTTTTCTTTCGGACATACGATGCAAACTTATACACGTACAGCATTTACTTTTTATAATTCATTTCAATGATAATTTCAATAATAATCGTATTGTTAGCGGAATATATTTTTGCGAACAAATATTTAGAACGAACATCACGTGTTTCTAAAAATTTCAAATTACGAAAAGCGAGTAATAAAAAAGAAATGAACTTACAGATTAGAGACAAAAAGTTTGGATGCGGAAACCTAGGACAAAATAAATGCCCACGCCATTTCAATAGTATGTATGATATTGACACTTACTTCTACTGATAGTTTAGACATATCGACGGGAGTGATCCGTTTGAGCGCCGACAGCCGCTGCAGCCGCTGCCGAGCCTGCTCCTCCACAGCGATGAGGAACGCATCTTGGATTATATTGTGGCCGATGTCCGATACTGTCAACAAAAGAACTGAATGTTAAATTTTAATTGAACAAAATGCAACGGAATTTAAAAAGTTGAGCATTTTTCGCAGAGGCTGCTTGTGGGATGGGTGACCGGTTGATTATCGTTACTTTCGCCGTGCTTCGGAGGGCATGTTAAGCCATTGGTATTCACTTCTACAGTCATTAACACACACCAATACGCTCTGGGCCTGCGTGGCAAATCGTTGCATATTCTCCGTATTCAATTCTGTTCAGGCACATTATTAGGCTGAAGATAATGAAATAATAACATACTAGATAGATACTAATAAATCCGACACAACTGGACATAAATTAAAAAAAAAACCTATCTAAAATATAATAATCAAAAAATATACCAGAGAAAAAATATCATTATCATCAAAACATTATAAATGTATCTAAGTAAAAAAGTGATGACTTAACGAATGTCACAGTCAAAGTCACACCACGTGTTTCCATAGTTGAAGATGTTAGAACAACGTGCCTGCGATGGAAGACGCAATAATTCATATTCTGCGCGCGCGCCACATTCCGACGCCACCCTGCGCGTGATTCAATGTGTTGTGCAATATCCATTGTGACGGCTTTCAATGGAGTCTAGGCTGTACTTATCATCAGAGACCGTGGGTGGATGTCTGCCCGTTAATACACGTCTTCAACCATACATAGATTTAGTTAAGAACGCCTATCAATCAGTTTTTTCAAGAAACACAGACTTGTACAGAGTGATTTACTATATGGACAACTTTCGAGAGACCTAGAAAGTAACTGAAAAACATTAGATACTATTTTAAAATTTTTAATATACAATTTCAAAAGTTACGCAAATTCAAAATGGATCGATAACAAGATTGTATAGTGTATTGTATATAGTATATGTACTGTAACATTGTATTGTTAGATATAGTTTGTAACATTAAATACTTATATAGGATTGAATCAAATGCACTCAACGGTCAAGACAGTGTTGCACGTTGAGTCTAAGTTTTTCAATCTGATACAATGAAAGTCGATGTCAATCGAGGTTTGCTGTAAGCCAGAATTTTTTTTTTGGGACAACCATATTTAATAACCAGATTAATATAAATGTATAAGTATTTATAATACAAATGTTAACATAATATAGACACATAATGTTATTATTAAAATATAGTATATATAAAGCCTGTCATCCGCGCATGGTGTGGCTTCCCGTAATGAAATCTTTTCTTTTTATAAAATTAGTATAGACAATTATCAACAGACCCAGGTTAGTCTAATCAAAACATTGTGTCAATCTTCCGTTTTTTTTCTGGCTTCGACGTACAGTCAAAAGCTCACAGTCAGGTCACAAAACTGACAAATCTCTTCACTTAATTTTATACCTTAATATAATGAGGGTAGAGTACAAAATCACTTGCTGATTTGACATAGGTAACCTGACATGCAGCCGTGTGTACATTATGAAAAAATCTTCGTTTTATTCATACGGTAGCAAAGCACTGTTAGAATACTAATCAGAGCGAGGATAAATATTCAATTAGGCTTACAATTGCGTAGTTACTAATATAATGATATACTTAGATGTGTGTTAATTGTGAAATAAGACTGTAGTGTGATACATATGATATGTTCGCCATTGTTTTTTGAATATTATAGATGTACCTACAACTCTAAGATACATACTTTAAATAACTTGTGCTATATTAATCAGCAACGACAATTGTAATACCTAATAAAAATAATCGTTTGACATCTAAATACAGGTGAGTGGAAAAGGTGGATAAGTATTTGAATCAATAATAACATCGAGTTCCAGCAATCGCATAGCCAGATTCGGTGGCTGTTCTGATTAGTTACAACTTAGGGTCGGATGGGCCGGGCGACCGAACAGGGGGCGTGGCTGCGGACACGGCATGGAGCCGGGGACTCTCTCTAGCCGGCGTTGCCAGACTGCGTTATGCTTGCATAGCGCTGTCTTGGCGGCGCTGGGGGGAGACAGAGCCCTGTTCTCAGCAGGAAAGAGAGTGCTGCGGGGAAGGCCCGAGGAGACAGCATTGGGGTGAGCCCGCAGGAACCACAGGTGGGAGGCCTGGGCGGCACTCTTGAAATAGAAGGCGGGTGGGATCGCGTATTAACGCATCCCTCCCTTCTGCAGATCGGCAGATGAGGGCTGACATTATCGGTAAGTAACCCTCAGGGCACGAGTCAGACTCGCCCTTGGCTATTTTTTTTCATATACCTATATATAAAACTTTGATATATAGGGAGCAATTTAAGGAAATAGACATAGTGACTGTTGCTTCTCAATACATATATGAGAATTAAATAAACGATCTTAAAAATATTACTTTTTTTCTATAAAAAGTGATGTAATGTACACAATTTCAATACAAGAAATTAAATTAAATTAAAGGCCTATCACTAGACTGCAAAAAGTTAAAAACTCATTCAGGGGTCTTTGAGTGCGCTTCTACAATAAGGTCCCGAGCAAAATACAACAATTAGATATCATGCAAATTAAATTAAAAAAAAGCATATTACAAGGTATTATATAACGGTGATTATATAACTGATATAATAAGAATGCTTGGAATTAAGGTGGTCCAGCAACTGGATAGGTATTTCTTCTAAACTTATTAACCATATCTCAATGAGTTTAGAAGAAATACCTATCCTAAATTATCTTGTTGCTATTATTATTAAATTATTATGTTCTCATTATAAGACATAGTCTTTTTCTCTCTATTTATAATGTATTGATCTAGTAATGACATGATTTTTGTGAATGTCATTACTCCTATAAGAGCTGGTGAGTTTCTTGCTCGTTCTTCTTATCAGCCAAAAGACGTCTTGTACGAACGGTAGGGAAAAAAATGTTGGACGATTCAAAAGTACTTTGAAGAAATCTATTTGAATAAAGATTATTTTGACTTTGTTATATATACTCTTAGTCTATATCAGGTGTCCGCCATCTAAACTCATCGATTTCGTGACCTATTTCATGTGACCCGCTTTATTTCCCTAAATGAATCATACTAAACAAAAAAGCATAACCATAAAACAATCATAACTATTTCCAACATCCTCTTTATAACATATTATGATTCATCGTCATCATCATCAGCCCTTTTACATCCCCACTGCAGTAGCTCAGACTTTCCTTATAGATGGGCCATAACCCTCCACGCTGATCCAATGCAGATTGGAGAATATTAACGACTCCAAATTCAGCCGGGACCAAGGGCTTAACGAGCCTTCCGAAGCGCGAAGTAGCTCGGGACAATATTTTTTTGTCCACTCGTCCCGTAACCAGATCTTACAAAAGTTGCCTAGCAAAAACGATCGCAGCGCTTATACGGTGCTCTCTATAATATGATAAAGTAGGTATATATTAGGATTATTTATGTTCTCAATTACAACGCGTAATAAAGTAGAAACAAGGAAACAGTGGCAGTCATATTACGGGAGAAAACAAAATCTAAACTCCACCGAAAACTCGTGTAATATTTCGTAAACGTAGCAATATAAAATTTTACACCATTTCAATCGTTCTCCAGCAGTTTTATTGGCTTACCGCAGTTTTATGACGATGAACGCAACAATTTCCACATTGTCTTTAGACTTTAAACATCTTGCCACTAAATATAGTTTTTAACTCATCCATGACACGCGATAGTATGTGCTTTTATTTATTTCACACATTGAATAAGGCATTACTTTTATTTATCAACATAAACTGCGCCATAGATTATGCGGTTTCTCAGGCGCGGAAAATTTTTCGTACGATAAAGGCTTTGGATTTGGAGATTTATAGATTAAATTGTAGAAATTACAAACGGAACTCAATAATCTAATGAAACATTAATTATATACGAGTTTTATGTTTTAGTAATAATAATTCTACAAATAAATATTTTTAAGGACATTTTTTTAAATTTGATTAATTGCTGCACAAAACAGCATACCAAAGAATATAACTAATATACAAATTAAAACTTTACAGATATTGTTTCTAGATTCTAATATAAAAAATATATCATTTTGGTTACTAAAAAATCGAAAAAAATTCAATTATAAAAAATCTAGAACATGTTCAATTACATCTATAAAATTACTCACGAATACTCACGAATATCATATAAGTCGGGTACAATAATCTACCTTAAAGTTTTTGGATGACTTAGTAATTAACAGTTCAAGAAATGGACGCATCTGAACGTATACATCTATCTTAAAATAATTTTACTTGTAATAAGCAAAAATTTTAAATTAGCGTTAAAATAAAAATATATCGTGAGATAATGATTTAGAATTCACATTTCTCCACGCCAGTCACTAATGATGATACATCACCTATCTTAACATCAGAAAGCTATCGAGGTCCGTAGTCGCCGTTCGAAAATTGCACTTCCATTACGTTGTTTTTCAGTTCAATATAACTCGTAGCCGATACCCGAAGCTCAGTGATCTGTTATGTGTAAAACCAGTTTCATACATTCCAGTACAGGCGGAAAGAACGGTACTTTGCAGAGATAATAAAATATATTATTGCAATGGCCATAGAAGAACGTTTGCACCTATTTAAACTTCTTTTTTATTCTCACGTGAGTAACGTAGTAAAAAACAGTTGCTAATTGTCGGAATTGCATGAAAAACTGAATGAAAATTGTTTAGCAAGCACGATACATTTTCTATGTGGGCCCAACCAGCCGGCAAACTTGCTAGGAAAAGAAGTTGACCGTGAAAAACAAAAAAAAAAAAAAGCATAAACCAAGATACGGCGAATTTCTTCGAAATTATGTAACTACCTTTATAGTTTTCTAGGACAGAATAATTTGTATTATACTAATTACACTTTTAGCGTAGTGCGACTAGAAAGTTGAAATTTTAAAGCTACTAACAAAATTTCAACTTTCTAGAACACATAGTTTTGAATGTATGTTACGAGTATCATATATGTATATATCAGTAACCAACAAAACCATTTTCGTGTTCTGAGAACAAAAC